TAAGAAAGGAATTCAACATGTCAACGTAAGCACTTACAATTACATCATTAGAAAAGAATTCAACCTGCCGACGTAAGCGCTTACGCCATAAGAAAGGAATTCAAAGATAAATACTTCCGCCTATCATTTTCTTCTCTCCTTGATTTTTCTTTATTTTGTTTTGTCTACTTTTCTTTCTTTTACATACAACAACAGGTTTGCTCCTATCAATCTCCACCTCAAACTTATGTTACATCAAGAAAGAAATTAATTTTTTTTTAAAAAAAGATTTGTTATTCTCAGGTGGCGCCTTCACGCTATCAGTCTTGAAGGCTAACTGAGGCAGTGCACAATCTTAGTTTGTCACCACCGACAACTTTGGTCAACATGTCTGACGGGTTCTTTGATCCTGGTATCTTCTGCAAGGAAAGAACTCCTTCACTTATCAACTCTCGGATATGATGATACCTCAATTGGATGTGCTTTGATCTTGCATGAAATACTGGATTTTTGGTAAGATGAATTGCACTCTCGCTATCGCTGAAAAGCTTACAATTGTCTTGCTCTTTACGTAGCTCTTTAAGAAAATTCTTTAGCCAAATAATCTCTTTTCCAGCTTCTAAGATTGCCATGTACTCTGCTTCAGTAGTGGATAGAGCAACACTTTTCTGAAGTCTGGACATCTAGCTAATAACATTACCACCCAAGGTGAACACGTAGCCAGTGGTACTTTTTTGACTATCTAGATCGCCGCCTAAATTTGCATTAGCAAAACCTTGTAAGATAATATTATTCTTTTTTAAAAGAAAGTGCCATACCTGAGGTACCTTTGAGATATTGCAATATCCTTTTTACACCTTCTCAATGCTCCTTTCCTGAATCTGACATGTATCTATTGACAACTTCAACTGTATGGGCTATGTCAGGTCTAGTGCAAACCATAACATACATCAATATTCCTACTACTGAAGCATATGGAACTTTGGACATGTACTTCCTTTCTTCATCTCTGTTAGGTAATTGGTTCTTTGACAGATTAAGATGGCTTCCGAGTGGAGTTCTTCCGGTCATTGCATCATGAAGAGTGAACCTGCTTAGTACCTTCTGTATGTAACTTTCTTGAGACAATTTTAAGGTTCCTTCAGACCTGTTTCTGCTAATCCTCATCCCAAGCATTTGCTAAGCTGGTCCTAAGTCTTTTATTTCAAACTCCTCCGCCAGTTGTTGTTTAACCATATTGATCACATTTATGCTAGATCCTGCAATTAGCATATCATCAACGTACAACAGTAAAATGATATGGGATTCATCAAGATTTTTGATATAACAACAATGGCCCATCTCACATCGTGTGAAACCATTGTTATGCATGAATCCATCAAATTTCTTGTACCATTATCGAGGAGCTTGTTTCAAACCATACAAACTCTTCTTCAACTTACACATAAGGTTTTCTTTACAAGAAACTTGAAAACCTTCAGGTTGCTTCATGTAGATGTCTTCTTCAAGGTCACCATACAAGAAAACAATTTTAACATCTAGCTGCTCCAAATATAAATTTTTGGCAGCTACGATACTTAGCACCAACCTGATAGTAGTTAATTTGACTATATGAGAGAAGATCTCAGTGTAGTCAATTCATTCCTTCTACTGAAAGCCTTTTACTACTAATCGTGCTTTTATACCATCATGATCTTCCTTGACTCTGTACACCCACTTGTTCAGCAATGCTTTCTTTTCTTTTGGTAACTCTGTAAGTATCCATGTTTTATTCTTTTGAAGAGAATTCATCTCTTCTTTCATGGCTAGCTTCCACTTATCAGAGTCTATCACCTGCATTGCTGCAACAAAATGCTCTGGTTCTCCAGCATCAATCAGAAGTAAAAAGTGAAGAGAGAAAGTTAACTTATCTGGAGCATTCGTGACTCTTTTAGATCTCCTTAATTTAGGTTTAAGAGTAACTAATCTCGAATTTGATTCAAGTCCTGACTCCAGATTTGGTTCTCAATTTGATTCTATCTCTGGTTTCGGTACTGATTCTGATCCAGATTCGGTTTCTGGTTCTTCATATTCAATTTAAGAATCAGTTGTAATCCCTCTAGCCACTTCATTTTTTGAGATTTCTTCTAACTCAACTGTTTCAGATGTCTATTATCTGGTGATTGTTGATTCTACTTCAGGCTTGTCCTTGTACATCACATATTCATTAAATGTGACATTCCCGTTTCTTAGGATCTTTTTATCAGATCATCCCAAAATCAATGACCAAAATTATCATCAACATAGCTAATAAAGAAACATTTCTTGGCTTTAGGATCAAGCTTATCTCTATTATTAGAGTTTATATGCACATAATCAACACAACTAAAAAATCAGATATGAGAGAGTTACCTCCTTTCCTGTCCATTCCTCCTCAGGAATTTTAAAATTCAGCGGTACAGAGGGTCCCCTGTTTATGAGGTAAACTACGGTGTTAATAGCCCCAACCCTAAAATACTTCGGCAATCCAGAATGTATTCTTATACTTCTGGATCGTTCATTCAGGGTTCTGTTCATCCTCTCAGCAACGCCATTTTGTTTCGGTGTTCCAGGAACTGTCTTGATCATTCTGATCCCATTCTCAGAGCAGAATACTTTAAACTCTTGACTATTATACTCTGCTCCATTGTCAGACTTCAAACATTTTAATTTTAGTCTTGTCTGATTTTCCACTTCAACTTTCCATCTTTTAAAGGTAACAAACACATCAGATTTATTTTTCAGAAAATAAACCCATACCTTTCTTGTGAAATCATCAATGAAGGCGATATAATAGCATGAGCCTCCCAAAGAAGTTACAATAGCTGGTCCCCATACATCTATATGCACTAGTTCAGTTTCTCTTTCTTTGGTGTCCTTCCCGCCTTTCAGAAACTAACTCTCTTTTGTTTCCCGTAAATGCAATCTTCGCACAAACCTAATTCAACATATTTTAGGTTTGACAACTTTTCTTTGGATGCCAACAACTTCATTCACTTCTCACTCATATACCCAAGCCTCCGGTGCCACAATGTTGTATCATGACCATGATCAACTGTTGCTATAGTATCTTTTTGTATTGCAGTTGCATACAGTGTTCTCTTCTTGAAGCCTCGTGTCACAACCAAATTTCTTTTGATTATCTTCCACGATTCCTTACAGAATGTTGTTGTATAGCCTTCACTGTCAATCTGACCCATAGATATCAGATTTTTCTTGAGTCCAGGAACATGTTGGACATTTTGTAATTTCCATAGCGTGCCTTATAAAGTCTTTATATGAACTTCACCTTTCCCGACAATGTCTAGAGGTTTGTCGTCTACTAGATAAACTTTTCCGAATTTTCCAGCAATATAATTATGCAATTCTTTGCATGATATAGAGTGAAAGGATGCACCCGAGTCTAGAATCTAAGATTCGACTGGAATGTCTGCACAATAAATTAGTGCATCGCCGACTTATTCAGCAATTACATTTGCTAAATTTTCTTCCTTTTCTTCTTTGATTCTCTACATTGACTACTGTAGCACTTTTTTTATCGCAATTCCAACAAGTAATGTCCTTGTGATTTTTGGATTATCCTCTTTACCTTGACTTTGATCAGCCACGACCATGACTTTGTCCTCTTTGGTTTCTTCTCCCCTTACTTTCGGTATTAAAAGCAGATCCTGGAGAATCACTTGATTCTCTTCAGTGAATATCTTCGCTTAGAACCAAGTCTCTAATATCATTCAATTTGAGTTTGGTACTTTCCGATAAAGTGCTAACTGCAATTACCGTTGCAGACTAACTCTTCGGTAGAGATAATAGTAGAATCAATGCCCTGACTTCGTCATCAAATATTATATTAACAGAACTCAACTGAGTTAATATACTATTAAACTCATTTATATGTTCTGTGACAGATCCACCTTCTGTCATCTTTAAGTTGAACAATCGATGCATCAAATAGACTTTATTTGAAGCAGATGACTTCTCGTACATATTTGATAACTCATTCATCAGGCCTGCAGTGGTTTTCTCGTTAATGATATTAAACGCCACATTTCGTATTAGCATCAAATGAATCACACCAAGAGCTTGGCGATCTAATAGATCTCAATTCGCTTTGGCCATATTTTCTAATTTTATCTCGGTCAGAGGTAAGTGTAATTTTTCTGGTACAAATAATCTTCTATTTGCATTTTTCAGAATCCAGAATCTTTGTCACTGAACTTGTTAATGTTAACCTTCCCTTCTTCCGATGCCATTTTTCATAAAAAATAATTATGTGAATAATGCCTGTGAATAGTAACAATGAATACTATTCCGTGTAAGAAAAAATATTCCTGTATAAGGTAGACAACCATCACTATTGGCGAATAGTACTATCACTATTGATGAATAGTGTTAGTAATGATGATCAATAGTATCGCACTATTCTTGTGAATAGTATCTGCACCAATACCGTACTTTTCTACTATAATTACACTATCTGTGCTCTGATACATGTTGTTGAGAAGCGTGTCAGGCTAATTGAAGGGGAAAAAAATTTAAAAGAGAAAGAATAAATTGTACAAGACAAGACAAAATTTACGTGGTTCGGTAATTTTTGTCTACTCCACGACCACACAAAGAATAGCTCTTTATTAATTGAACAGAAAGAAGAAGTTGCGGGATGATCTGCAAATAAAAATGTAGACCCCTTTTATAGGTATTTGAATATCTTGCCGACGTAAGCACTTATGTCATAAGAAAAGATTTCAACCTGCCTACATAAGCAAGTACGTCATAAGAAAAGAATTCAACCTGCCGACGTAAGCGCTTACGTCATAAGAAAAGAATTCAAACATAATTCTTTCGCCTATCATTTTTCTTTCTCTCTTTGACTTTTTTTCTTTTGTTTTGTCTACTTTTCTTTCTTTCACGCACAACAACACGTTTGCTCCATTCAAAACTGCCCTTAGTCCATTGAATCAAACAAATCAGACTTTTGCTTACCCACTGATGCAAGAACAAATCTGGAAATTAACATTACTAGATATGTCACAGTTTTCATATCTTTATTAATTCTTTTTACCAAAATTTAGCATCTTCATCACTGAAAATGTTGTTTTCCAAGATTATTTATTACTCATGAGAATTGAAAAAGTAGGAACAACCCTGTCAAAAATTTCGGAGAACTATAATATGAACAGTGCTAACTTACTTTCAAACTCCAGCGGACTAGTTAGAAACTTAAAGTACTACATATTGCTTCGCGTCTAAAGATGGCAGAAAACTGATTTTCTTCTGCCTCTTAAGCTCAATCTTGTGCGGCCAACTTCCAAATAATCAATGCAAAATCTCTTGTCTTTCTGATTCTTGACCCCTTCCGCATTTCTGTTGCATCATCACTGTGGAATATTACCTGATACGACCTTCCCCTATGCGCGGTGTCTGCTAAGTATGAGCCTTAGACTTCCAAATCTTCAACCTCAGAGCTCATCACAAAACTAGGAAATGCTAAAGTTATGTCCCTATAATAAAGCAAGGCCACTTATTAGGTAACAACAACCTACTCAAAAGTTTCTTTGTAAAATCCAACTCAATGCCTTATAACTTACTTCAGATAGGGAAGGGTCATATTCTTTAGAAGAGACGGATTCTTTGAAGCAAACTCCTTCCACTCTTCTGGATCTATCTTCCCATCACCCTTTTTATCTGCTTCATTAAATGTCTGGTGCACAAGATAAAATAATTAGGCGGTAAATATGAATACCAAAAAGGCACATAAACGTCTGAGTAAAACATTCAACCTTATCTATAATCATTTCGACAACATCATCTGAAAGAACTAGGTCCGATTCATGCAGCAGTGCCAAAACCATCTCTTTCAGCTGTAATTAAAACAAAGAATTGAATGAATTATTAACTCCGCCAAACGTACTGTTGCACCTCAGAGTAATATTAGATTATTTTTTTTTTTTTGGATGAGATACCTATTGCTCATGACAAGGGGAGAATAGAGGAAACCAGTACAAGTATGGTTGTAATACCTACCTCTTCTCTCTCAATATAACCAGTTTGCCTTAGATCATATAATCGGAATGCAACTGCAGAAAAAATTCCAACATACACATTAATAATGCCAAAAAAAAAAAAAAGGTAATACGCTTAGAATTCTGTAAGTGTTGAAAATGATTAATAAATATATAGGGGTTAGAGAGTGAATATTCATAAGGGATCAAAAATCATTCCTTACATGCAATTTTATCGGCTACTGGTGCATTTGGGTGGAACACGCTCAATGATCTGACAAATTCTCCAAACTCAATCACTCCGTTGCGCTTGTAATCAAAGAGATCAAAAATCTGAAAAATTCGAGGGAGAAAAAAAATACTCAGCAGGTATAAGTCAGATTAATGCAAGACATAGAACGGTTGAGTTTTCAAATGAAGCAGAAATAACTGCAACATAACCAATGTTGTAGCTTGGTGTCAAATTTCAATGCTTAATCAGAAATGCAGAGAGTTTCGAAAGACATCTACATGGACAATTTCGAGGAAAATTGAGTCGACAAAACACCTACCCTGTCTGCAAACAGATTTCTTCTGTTTTGGTTCCTGAAAAGTGCCAACTGAAGCTCTTCCTGATGATAGAGTTGCATAGAAGTTAGTAATAGGTAACTGTAACATATTCTAGGCCTCAGCAACGAGTCGAATACTTAGTAAATTGTAAAATGTAAAACCCCGATAACGCATAATGATAATGTTAATGCTAGTGGCACGCAGTAGAGAAATACCTTGTGAATGAGCCCATCATCAATTATAGAGCTGCTTATTTTCTTAAACAGCTCGTATAATGCTTCAACTTCACTCACCGTAACTGCAATATAACATAACAGTTGAAAAGTTCATACAGAATGATTAATTGGTTGTTTGGATTGGATATAAGCAGACCATAACTTAATGGAAACCATGGCTCCAACAACAACAACGTACCCATTGTATTTCCACAAGTGGGGTCTGGAGAGGGTAGTATGTACGCAGACCTTACCCCTCCCCTTCAGGTTATTTGATACACGTACTTTCTAAAATCTAGAGAAGGAAGTTTTCATTCTGAAGCTTTATTTTTCTTTTTTTGATAAAAAGTTTCCATTCTGAAGCTCAATTATATTATTCCGTTGTTCCTTCATATAATACTCTGGCAGTACGCAGTTTGTTGGAGAGGGAAGAGAAGATGTGAACAATTCTATAAGATTATCCATATGCACTTAAGGGGTTTGAGCTCTTCAAACTGACTGACTTACTAAGGCAGACATAACGACGTGTAACTTCAAACTGATTGAAACAAAAACCCAATTTCATAAGGATGCATACTCACAAGCTGTCTCAGCAGCGAGCACTGTTGGCTCCTCGTAACCAGGGGTGTATTTGGAGATTGTGGAGTGAAAGCAGCCCATCAAAAGACGGAAATAATAAAGTGTTGTTAACGAATAATATGACCAAGGTAGTGAGACTTCATCGAACAACCACCTGACACTAGAAATACAAGAGAACTTCAACATCAGCACGAATGCATCATCACCGGGGAGTTAAGCAAATAAGTAAGGTATGATGTGTCAGGTCAAAATAATACAGTGGGAAGAAAGCAGAATAGCATTAAAAGCTAAGGTAGATCCATCATAATATCAAGCTTTGCACCCTCCTTTATCAAGATAATCACCGGAACATCAAATGTATCGCTTTCTTTAAAACAAGAAAAGAGAAAAACTAATACACAGTTTCTAGCTCTCTACTGATTGCCTTGGCTCTTGGTAACATTACATGTTTAAGACTTAAGACTGTAGATCTACATGATCGTCGAACATAAAGAGTAGTAAAACACGAGTAACTTAGTTCAATATGACATCCAAATTACTACACTTGATGGCAGAGGCATCAATTCTTGGTTACCACTCACCAAGAGCTTACTTCAAAACCTGCAATCTTATTTCTTCAGCAGATTATGGCAAGTGACTTCACTACACCATTCTGTTTTCGCAATTAATCTACCTAACGGCGATAATGCAAAGATTTGGTTATGACAAATAGCATAGCTCTCAAGGAAAATAAATTAATAAGGAATAGAGAATGATTCTAAACAGAAGAAGACATTAACACATAGATGAAAAGGTTGTTTGCACTTAGAAAGTTTNGGCTATAAAAAGATTATTACGATTCACGGCCAATTATATCAAGGGAAAGAATAGAAAAGCCATCTATATTGAAAGGCAATATATAGTTATATTTATTTTTCTTGATGAATATCAAGAAGTCACAATGATTAAGCAAATCTAATCTCTTCTCATTAGCTCCTTGGAGTGTTGTGAATAATTTGAAAACTTGATTATTACAAGAAAATTCCAAACATATACAACTGATTCAAACCTGGTCTCACCAACCTAGTTAAAACAAGATTTTTTTTGTCATTGATTCATGGGAGTCTATCAGAATGAAGAAAATATGGCTCATTCCAAAAGGAAATTAAAGAAGCATAGAAGCTTGCAAATTAAATGGAAAAAAGACAAACAGAGAGATAGCTGAAAGATATTTTTACCTAATGTTGCATTGTTCTTTAAATTTGTGAAGACCAAGTTCATTAAGGGCACATATTTATAACCTTTTTCAACGGTACACTAAGCTCTCGCTATGCGTGGGGTCCGGTAAAGAGTCGGACCACAAGGATAGGCAGTCTTATCCTGCATTTCTGCGTGAAGCTGTTTTCACGGCTCGATCTCGTGACTTCCTAATCGGCCTAATCACATGACAACAACTTTAGCAGGACTTCCCTTCAAAGCCATAGCCATACTTGTTTAAGCTGGAAACGGAATAAACGATGAGAAAAAGTGACAAAATGACTCAACAAACAGACATGATAAAAGAAACATTAGTTAATGAAGGAATGTGGCAAACAGAGATCCCAAAAAACTACGTAATATACTAAAGGCTAAAGAGGGAGAGACACGAGTTACTTACCCTGAAGAAAGTATAGAGGATCTTGGGAAAGCTGCAATGTTACAAACTCCACCACTTCAAGCACGTATTATTATACTACTCATTTTCTGCCAGGCTGCAGATTTAGATCGATTCTTTTTTGTTTCAAAATATACTAGTCACATTTTTGTCCTTTCAAGCGCGCGTATATACATTTGCGTAGGTAGCCTATTATTCTAAACTAGGCTCCAGCTTTAAATTTGCTGGGCGCATGCTAATGTTTAATGGTTCCTACTTGGAATAGCAACAATTGGGTGAGGCGAGGAGGTAGATTTTTAACCAATAATATGGTTCTTGATCAAAATCTAAATTTAGAAGAAAACGGGTTACCAATAATCAAGTTTTACTTCACTTTCACAATGATATTTAAGAAAAATAATAAGAATGTCAAAGGAAATAATTGATGGTCAAATTGTAAAATGAAGATAGAAAATTTCGAGAAAGTAAAGAGTGTATTTTAATAGTGCTTGAGACCTGTCTTTACAAATAAAATTATGTGCCCTTATATAGGAATGTACAAGTGTACCGGTTTTTCCCACATAATTTGGGTTTATTATGGGCAGTAATTATTTAACCAAAAAATAGAATTTTAGTCAAAGCTAGAATTTAGAAGAACACGGGTTATTGATAATCGAATGAATATGTAAAAGAGAGTAATTTGGGTAGCAATAATATAATCAGGAGAAAAACAAGTAAACCAAAGTATATTCCAATAGTGTTTCGTGTCCCCACAATTGATCAATTATCTCCCTTTTATAGCTATTTGGGAGATATGCGTTTTGCCCTTGTTTTAATAAGGCTATTATGACTAATTAAAGACATTGAATGCTAAGTTACACAATCATTGTATTTAATACAGATTCTCTAACGTATTCAATATTTAATGCTCATTAAATACTGTATCTGTACTCTCATATACTGTCAGATTCATTCCCCTTGACTCCCTTACCTAAATGACTTAAATAGATACGGCCGCCGAGTCCTTTGAATATCTGCCCGTGTCTCTTCCTTTGCCTTTGCTCGTATCTGTTGCAACTCGTGTCTCTTTGCTAGTTGTAACTCTGTGACTAGTCTACGTGTCTTGACACGTCATCTTTATTCAACTTTAATATGTAAACTCAATTTTTCCCAATACAATAGTCCCCCCACTTGCCATTTATTCATCAATTGAATATTTGGGAAGTGGATTTCATTAAAACGAGAATTTTTGTCACCATTAATGCTATGACAAAATTGACGCTTCAATTGTCACTTCTATTTAATGCTCTTTACACGTGTCACCTTTTTATTAGTTCTGCAATTATGCAGCCCTTTTTAAGGCTTTTTCATGGCTCCACTATTCTTGAAGCGTCAGTTATCATTATTATGGTACTTCCATCATCACATTTCTTCCTTCGGCGGTCGCTTATCAGTATAAATATAACTTCTTTCTTTGTCTTTTCCACATAAAGTTTACTGAATATTCAATCTCTCAAATCCATGTTTGCTTCTTTATCGTATCATCCTTCTTCATCATATCTTCTTCAAATTCTAACCCTAGATCCATAATTGATTCCTTCCCTAATGCCCCCATTAGAAGCAGAAGGGAGGTAGGCTTCGTAATTTAGGATCTGTTCGCGATTCTTCCACTCTTTTACCTAGTTCTGGCCCTTCTTCTAGAACTAGGGATTCACTTTCACAAAGTTCTTCTTCAAGAGGTAAAGAACCTTCTGAACCTCTTCGTGAGCCTATAGTAAAGGAGATAGTTCCGTAGGAACTATCTTTTTATCATGACAGAGAATCTCTTAGGAACCAAGTCTCTGGTTTAGATCGTGCTGATATTTATCCCACTCAAATTACAGAAGGTTTGATTTCTGTAGTTCGTAGAGACTATCATTGGAGTAGTGATTTCTCTATTATTATCCCTAATCCGAATCAAAGAATCACCTCATACATAACCGGGTTTTCTTTTATTTATACATACCCTTTCACCTTAGGGTTTAGACCATCTATTGACCCTGTTATTCTTGAGTTCTATCGTTTCTTCGATGTTTGCTTGGGTCAAATTGGCCCAATCATATGGAGGGATGTTGCCTATTTAAGGCATTTGACCAACACAGTCGGTGTTCCCTTTACTTTCCCTCATTTGATTCACCTTTACTCCCCTAGACTCTTCCGCAATGATGTTTTCACACTAGTAGCCAGGAGCAAGAGAGTTTTGGTGAGCCCTGAGGATGACGAAGACCGTGGCTGGTATGTCAGGTTTGTTGCTGCCCCTATTGTTGGTTTAGTAGGTGATGATAATGTTCCCTTCCCTGAGAAGTGGAATTTTGCACGTAAGTCTTTTTAACTTTCTTGTACCTTTTTTCTTCAAATTTGTCAATTTTTCTAATTTTGCTTTTTCTTTTTTTTAGCAACCATGGGAGTTGTGGAAGACGTTCCCAATTTCCGTGATTGGGTAGATAAGTTATTAAGGACCGCACAAATGGATGGTAGGTCTTGGAAGACACTTTCTAACCATTTTGGTTGGAAAGTAAAAACTCATGGCAAGAACTTTTATTTCATCTTTTCGTATATATTTTTTTTATTGCACTAATTTCAATCCATCTTTTTATCAGGATTTGCTATTCACGGAGTCACTGCCGAGGCAGTCGCGGCTTGTCGCATCTCTTTGGAAAGGGCTCAAGAAATAATCTTGGGTTCTTCTACAAAAAGAAAAGTCATTGTCGTTGAAGAACAAGACTCTGAAGAGGATGAAGACGGGGGGGCTCTTTGGTGACAAGGCCACGAGCTCGAAGATGCATCATTTCTGATGATGAAGCATAGGTATCCCCCCGTTGTTCTTTTCCTCTTACCAAGTTTGCTGAGACTCTGGTACTAATTCTTGATGATGACGTTGCTCCCGCTGCTGCTCATGACTCTGCTGAGCAGCTTTTTATTAGCGGGTTTGGTAGTGAAGGCTTAGGTCCTGTTTTGGATGAAGCACCCTTGGCTTCTTTTTCGACACTCGTGTTTGTAACTCATTCTTTTCCAGTTTCGATTATTTCTGCTCCTCCCCAGACTATCTTTACCACCTCTTCTGTTCCTCTTTCGACAATTCCTCCTCCAAACATTCATCGTACTGAGGTTGGCTCCTCAAGTAAGAATGATGCTATGAGGCGAGTAGTCATTAAAGTTCCTGCTAAGGGTAGTCTCTTAAGGAAATCAGGTCAAGCGGATGTATGGATAGAGCCTTTAATTGGCCCAATTAAGAAAGCTAAGCTAGAGAGCCACAGTTCTTTGACCCTGATGAACGATATTGTGCACGCCACTTTGAAGGTATTCCCCTTCTCTTCTTTCTTTTACTTTGCAATTTTTCTATCTTTGAGGATTCTTTTTTCTTTTTCCCCTTTTTAGGCCAACCTTATCGGCACAGAGATCATGAAAAGAATTGCCCACTCATATCAATTAGTGTGTGATTCTAAGTTAGAGGCGTGCAATTGGAAGGAACAGTTTGAGAGCTTGCAAATTGATGTGGAATATTTAAAAGAGAGCAAAAGTACCTTGGAGCAGCAGGTACGATCTTTGACTTCGGAGTTGGCAGTTGAAAAGGCTTTCTTAAGCCAAGCAGATAAAGAAAAAACTCGCCTTGAAACTTCCTATTCAGAACAGCTGTTCAAGGCTAGTGAAGAAATCAGAGAGTTGAAGGCTCTTTTGAATAAAAAGGAAGCTTACGTTGGGGAGCTCGTACAAAATTTAACTCAGGCACAAGAAAACCTACGAGCTTCTTCTGATAAGTTGAGTGCTTTAGAAAGCTCTCATGCCTCTCTCCAAACTTCTTACATATTTGCCTTGGCTGAAAATGAGAAGTTAAAAAACGAAATTGCTGACTGGGAAAGGAACTATGAGATCCTTGAAGATAAATCTGCTATTAAAATAATTTGAGCGTTTTTGAATTCACGCCATGATACCCTAATTGAAGCTGGCCAAAAAAATTTCAACTTGGAATCTGAGTTGGCAAAAATCAATGAAACTATTGATAAAGTTCAGCAAACTCAAGATTTTCCTTCTCCCGTGGCCGAATCTTCCGTGAATGTTGAAGTCGATACGGGTATCCCAACTATTTCAAGTCCAGTCGAGCCTATTGCTGCAGGTCAAATTGAGCCCGCAACTGTTGATACTCCTGCCTAAGTTGAGCCC